CAGCAGTGACAACGACAATGCGAATTCATACAGCCCCGTGCACTCTTATTATTTTTCCTCCGATTAATTGCCGATTTGATATTCGTAATAATTTACATTCAACCGTATGATTTTGCATTAATAAGAGGATCAAACATGATAAACCATAATAACAAATCGACTATTAAACTTCATCTATAACGCGCATATATTATAATAAAACCGTGTTATATAACAGGTTGTTTTGTAAGCTCGTCGTATAACCATTATATATGCTTTGATATTATATCAAGTTTGTATAACTTCTTGCATCTCATTATTAATAATTACGTAATATTGCTGGCGCTAGCTATGTAGAAAATGGAACTAAATGAAGATTCCAGTTGCGATTATTATTACAAACTAGAAGACAATGCAGCAGTAATAGTAATCTTAGTACATGTTAAATGAGATGGTGTTGATTTATATATCGTTTAATAATTTTAACAATACGCTAATTTTTATGTCATGAAACAATGATACTTATTTCTTATTGCGAACATTGTCTTGACTATCATTGTGAACAAACGCATATTTGAGAAGTGTGCCCTACTCTTTTATCAATAAAATAATATCTAATTCCTTTCAAAAGCAATGTTTCATTTCTTCTCAGGAATATATGTTTTTCAAGTTGAATCACTTTCCTCGATATAACGGTATTAGAAAATATTAATTAAAATTCTTTCATCTCCCTTCGTAACAAGTTCCATTACTTTGATTACTGTAACTTATTATAACGTGCCCAACAACGTAGCTGCAACTTGACGCGTATTTCGCCGATAAACTATCAGCAGAAATAATACTTTTCCACGCGCGCCCGGGCAGATCGTCGACAGGCACGACTCCTGAATTGAAATCATCCCTGGAACATGACTTCGGATTAACATAAGATAATTTAACCAAACACACCGGAATAATACTGCCCGTTGTTTCCGTGACCGAAACAATACGCCATTAGCATCTCAACGCAATCATAATTATATGCTCGTGAACTCACGCAACACCGAGTAACAGTGCCGTTATCTCCGGCTAATCCTATTATAATTCGTATTAGGTCAGGCTGGCAAAGCCGCTTCTAACGGAAGGGTCTTGCCCTATTTCGACCCAGTCATACATTTTTATTAGCGCAATAAATGCCTCCCCCTTTGTCGCCATTAAGGTGATATTCTAGTGTGAGGTGCGTGTTTTTTTAACTTTGTTAGGGAATTTTTTGCAAAGAACCTGTTATACCTTTTGCAGTCAAATTGACAAGGTTTATTTGTATGTATTTCAACGACGTTTCGAAAATTTTTGGGACAAAAAAAATTAAAATTAGCGGCACTGCATACTCTCAAACATAGTCGCTTTTAAAAAAGATCCATGATTCCGGCCATTCTGCTTGTCGGAAATAACAAACCGTGAATGTTCCTTAATTAGTATGAGTTCGGCTACAGCAAGTACCAAAACAAAAGAAAAAAGTCGTAATTAAAAAAGTGGCGATACTTTGAAGTTCGATTATCGATTTTTACATGTTTTTGTTAAACTTCGGAAGCCTAAAAAAATATAAAAAATAAAATTTTTTGATTGATTCTGATAGGGGCTATAGTCACACATGTACTAAATGCGCACTTAAAATTTTGAGTCAATTGGTGAGGTAGATTTTGAGATATCATGGACATCGTTCTGAAAAAACATAGTTTCCAGAAAAATGCCTTTAAAGTTTAGTATTGCGGTAACAATGACGCTGGTAGTCGCGTTCTTCAAACAATCATAATTTCGTTAATTTTAGTAGTTCACACATAAGGTTACAGAGATTTATTTTTGAAATTATGTCTTTTAAGAATATGCAAAAAAAAAAAATCGATTTTTTTCAAAAGTTCACACTTTACCCCCTTAAACGTCACCATTATTACCGTCATTGTGATTGATTAACATGCTGTTCGCGCGATTAACATGGCAACGATGTCTTTAACTTCTTGCCCTGGAATGACGTGCCACGCACGTCAAGAATTTTTTGTTCCAAAATTGCAATGTTTTCTCAGTATATTATTTAAGTATACTTAAGTGAAACAGAATAGGCAAAACAAATAATAAATTTATTACTTCTCAATAATTTCTATCCAGTGATATCATACCGACAAGTTGAAAAAGAAGACGACAAATTATTGTGTACGGTTTGGTCACTCGTTATGGTCCGCAATCAGTTGCCAGCGCCAAATGGTCAACGTTACCAAACAACTTCAGCAGTGCGGCGTCCCTAATAACCAGAGCACAATAAAGTACCTGTCGGCCGGAATACGAAATTCCCACGAAGCTGAAACGCTTTCGTTTTCTTCATACACGCTGCATAATTTCTTTCCCTCGTTCTTTGCCGAGTTTATAATTGTATCGACCTGCCGCCGTGCGCCTTTCTCCCGTTCACGTGAACTCGGTGAACAAGTGGAAATCGAATTTAACACTGATCTCAAAGGAAGATAGCTGCCTACATGCCGTCTTAAAGTAATCAAAACTTGTGTCCATCTTGCCGGGTTTCGATCCGCAACTTTGGCGATTGTGTTAGAATGCGAAAAGTCGGCCGTTGAAAGAGCTTCTCTCGGACTTAAAAACCAATTCATTTGGCACTCTATTTAAAGGCCGAGTGGATGCCGGTGGAATAGCAACGAAAGTAATATTTTTCTTTTTTTTTTTTCTTGACGGAAGAGAGATACTCTATGTCTAAATTAACGAGTTCCTCTTAACTTGTAGCTGCTGCTACTGTGCCAGCTTTTTTAGCTCTCGTAACGTAGAATGAAAACAGTATTGAAATTAATTAATTTGAAATGTTCCTCGTTGTTTCGTATTCTTTACCTAACAGCTAAAAATATTCAGAGGCACAACTGGTATTACAAATGTGATATCAAATCTGCAGAAATTTTAATTAAGTTATTATTATAAATATGGTCCAATTGTTCTTGGAGAATAAATAGAAATAGCTCGTTGAATTGTATTATTATAGTAAAGTATTATTATACTAAATTATATATATATTACGATGTATTTGTATCGTCAAGTCAGTGACAAATGTTTCATTAATTAACTCTTTCTGTAATTTTTATCAATTATATGTTTCTTTCTGAGAAATTTTTAATTATTAATCTGCAGTCGAAACATCGTTTCTGTCAGAAATTTCGAATCTCTTCTTTGCCTTTTCACGTAACACCAGATAATACCAACAGATCAATCAACTATATGTTTTATTAATCAAATGGTATCATCTTGAGTGTAAAAATGATCCTTAAATTTAACCAATGTCAGTTAACAATCAAATGACATTATCAACAGTCGTTAAATAAATAGAAAACATGGAACAACAATGTTTGCATATTGCCTTTATTAGAAGCGATAATAAGTCGATGGAGTACGGTTAGTTAAAGTGTTTTAGCGATATTTTCACGAAATTACAATGTTGCCTAATCGTGCTCGGTATCTGCGAGCGTGCCGCCAATTTATTCAACATACACGCTGGCAAGGATTTGCACACGAAACACGTGCGTGCTGCCGGGCAAGTATGCAGAAGTGCTCGAATAAATAATATCAGGGCACGTTCGAAGGCCTCGATTCATTAAATGGCGGCCAAATCTCGTGATACGGCTGAAATGGGAAATGAGTAATGGAGTCAAGTGAGCCGGTGACCTCGCGGCTAAGTTCGGTATTGCGAGTGTATAATCCTTTCCTAATGACGTGGCCGTTTTTAGCCTTTAATACGGCTGACACGTCGCAATCGTGCCGCATGGTTAAAAGCAAAGCCCTCTCCTCACGTTTTCTCCGCGTTTTGCGCACAGATTAACATACACACGTACGTGGAACAGCGAGAGCCTAATTTCACGGAACATTCATCGCGCGAGTTGGAACGAGCCAGCTTTCAAACGAATCTTCTGGGTCTTCTGTTCGTATCACGCGTCATCCTTTCCAAGAAATTTGTAATCTTTCGAAACGGATTTTTCACGTTTCTTCCGAGCGTTGCGCAATCATCGTTTCAAATTGGACGAGCTATGATTTTGTGCTGACAAAATGAATTACTTGGAATTCTAGGATGATCACTCGCGTGATCAATGGATGTTATAATCATGCGTGCAGTGTAATTGGCGTATACAGTTGAATAGAATTATGAAAAAAATATGTCGAAAGCATAAAACAAAATATTTTCAACAAAGTATGTTTCGTCTTTTGAAAAGTTGACTTTAAATATATTCATCTTTGATTTATGTTTGAATAATGGAGAATGTATATCTCGCGAAAAATGAATTTTAGAAATTTATTAGTTATTTTTGTATTAAAACTTGAAAATTGAATTTTTTTGCTAGAAAATAATAAAATTTCCATCGTATGTGAATATTCTGTTCTGTTATTCTTCTTTCTAGGTTTCATATTTTCAATGATATAATTAAAGAAGAAGAAATGTTTCCACCAAAGTACTCTACTTTTGATATCTTATACATTTCTGTATATTTTGTGCATTTCTTGCACTACGTACATAAATTACGATTTACGACTAACAAAATATTATTTTATAACAAAGACGTTCATAAATCAGAGGAAATAAATTTCTTTCAACATATATAAGCACGTATGTTTTATACACAATCAAGAGCTCAACACAAAATTAAAATATGTAAATTATAAATTTTAAAATGAACAACAAACGATATCATATCAATACTTCAAGTCCACTGATATAAAATCAATACTTTAAGTTCCGTGAACTTAAGTTCCAGTTTTTCGAAACTTTCAGAATTTCGAATTCAAGTTTTGACAATTTAAAAATTAATTTCCATCTCTGTTCTAAATCTCCTTGACGCAGAGATAACTTTGGTCGAAGCGGCTAAGTCACGAATTTACAATAGCTAATGGAACATCTGAATTTATATCTGACAATAAAGTTTTAAGCATTAATATAAATTACGGTTCGCGGTAAATCTTGTTACGAACCTTTGTAATAAAGAATTTCTTGCTTATTATTTCAGATGCCACGCCGCGGTGCAACCATATCGGCTGGATTGATCCATCTGCTCGTTCTAGCTGCCCTGTTCGCCCTTGGCACGGCCGCGATCTGTCCAAACGGGTGCATCTGCGACGACGACAACCTCGTGGTGTCCTGCATAGGCGCCAATCTGGACGTCATACCGATCGCCCTGAACCCGAGTATCCAGCGGATAGTGTTGAAGGAGAATCGGATAAAGATAGTGGACGCGGCAGCGTTTCAGTTCTACGGGGATCTGAAGAACGTCGATCTATCGAGCAATCACCTATTCACCATTCCCAACGGGAGTTTCGACGCGCAAAAGCAACTGGTGGAGCTTCATCTCAGACACAACAAGATCTCGGCATTGACCGAGAAGACGTTTCAAGGTCTAAAGTCTTTGACGGTGCTCAATCTGCGGGACAACTACTTGGAGAGCCTAAAGAACGGTCTGTTTGCCTCGTTGTCGAAATTGGAGGAACTAGATCTTGGGAAGAATCGTATATCGAAAGTGGAGCCGGGCGCTTTTCAAAAACTGGGAACGCTCCGAGTCTTGCATCTCGATGATAATCAATTGAGAACCATACCGTCGCCGGCACTGGCGCCGTTGAACGCCTTGGCCGAGTTGCATATAGGTTGGAACGCGTTCTCCTCGCTTCCGGACGACGCGTTCAAAGGTCTGGAGCAGTTAACCGTGCTGGACATCACCGGCGCTGGTTTAGACGACATCAGCGACGGCGCTTTCCGCGGTTTGAACGCTCTACGTACGTTGGAACTGGACGGGAACAAGTTGCGAGAAGTGCCGACGAAACAGTTGGCCGTTCTGCCTCGCCTCGAGGAACTCACCTTGGGTCAGAACTTCTTCACCACTTTGAGATCGGGGGCGTTTCAAGGCCTGTCCAAGTTGAAAAAGTTAGATATATCCGCGGCGAAATTGTTAACTACCGTCGAGCGTGGAGCATTCTCGGACAACGCCAATTTAGAAACGCTGGTGTTGAACAGTAATAAACGGCTGACTACGATGGAGGACGGTTCCCTGGCCGGTTTGCCTAACTTGAGGCACTTAATGCTGCGTGACAACGCGTTCACCGGATTCTCCGAGTCTCTGGTGGCCTGGAACGAGCTACGTCGGCTGGACTTGAGCGAGAATCCCTTGGTCTGCGATTGCAGTCTGCTCTGGCTAGCCGAGGTTCTTGTCCCGAGGAACTCCAGTCCGGTGTTGTGCGCGGAGCCGCAGGAATCGAAAGGAAAACCTATCAAAGGTATGACACCTGACGAGCTAGGCTGCGCCTTTTCCGATCCCCGGAAGCAAGCGCTGCTAGCGACTCTCTGCGCTGCCGGTCTTGCATTGCTCACGGGACTGGCTGTGATCCTCTACTACAGATGTCGTAGACACGTGAGGGATGCCCTCAAGGACTACAAATGGAAGAATCGCGCGATCTCTCGCAAGGAGCACGAGTATCAAAAGACCTTCTCCGACGACGAGTACATCGTCAGATCCGCCCACCCCCACCATCACCATCATCATCAACCTCAGTCGCAGCAGATCCCCTCTCACCATCATCATCATCATCTTCAACAGCAGCAACTGCAGCAGCAGCAGCAGCAGCAGCAGCAGCAACAACACTCGCAGATAGCGGCGGGCATTAAGCCTATACCTGTGACGGAACTGTAGCTAGAACTTCGGGCGGCGAGCCCTGGAACCGGCGGTGTTTGGTTCTTGCCGCATGGCAGCACTACTCTTGCTGAAGGCTTCACCTACATCGACGGGGAGACGGCACGTCAAATGCGCCGTCCGGGAACGCTGCCCAATTCCGGCACGTCCGGCCATCGTCCCGCCGCCACCATGGAGGACGGTACCACCACGCCACTGAGCGTCACCGGCGATAATTGCACATCGACCGGCGGCAGACTACATTATTCCAATCACTCTTTACGCCGTACACCGCAGCCGCCGCCCCATCTGCCATCACGCGACACCGACAACCCCTCGGAAAGAACGCAGAACGACTCGAGGCTTCAGAACGGCATACCCGGACAGCATCACGCGCCTCCGCCTCTCCCCTCGAGACACCAGTCGTCCTGTAGCCAATCTTCCTACCCCACCCTGCCAATGAACGGCCACGCGACTCATCAGTACCATCATTTCCCCCGCGAGAAGGAGAGATCGTCAGCTCGCGAGAGGAGTCGCGATCGAGATGTCGGCGTTCAATCCGTCCCTCATCGGTCCGACAAGCACCGTGACCTTCAAATGGAGATGGAGATGCGCGACGGGCTGGACATGGGCGAGATAGGGACGTATCGAGCGTAAAACCGACGTACGCGCGATGAAAACGGGAACAAGGTGGACTCGTTTCGGTGAAGGGTAGAATAGGCCGAGTGAATTGAATCGAAGACTGAATCCGAACGTTGAGTAAGGGACTCTGATGGTGAACGAAATTGAAACGGGCCTCACTTTGCGCGTCTTCGCCCAATTCTCTCGTAAACGCAGTGGACACGGTCGAAGGAGCAAAGGCGCATCGGAGGCGTTAAGTCAGCGAACAATATCGATCGATGGCCGATCACGAATGGAATTGGCGAGCTCGTAGGTAAATCAATTCGAAGACTGATCGCGACAGACGTCGGTGAACAATATCGACAAGTTATTAACTGATACCGGTACATTCCAATCACCTGTCTGCCAGTCTTCACTGGGATCGGCGAACGCCAATTCGGATCAAATTGGAGCGTTTTAATCGAATTGAATTTCTCTGAACGTTGATTATACCGTATCCCTATGTAGACGGTTCAACAAGAGATCTTGTGCTTTGGTTAAACACTTTTTTGCTGAAAATTGTGTCGAGGAACCAAAAGGAATGTACGGGAACGTGTCCGAATTATTTTGAACGAAGGTAATGCTTCGCATCGCGAATACAAAGGTTCATACGTCCGATGAAAATAAAGAGACTCGAGGAAGAACCAGGATTAGTTATACACGCGAATCAAACGGGAGGATCGATAATGAAAACGTCACGACACCGAAAGAAAATCCGTTGAAAGGAATAATGGCCGACTGGTTATCGAGAATTTATCAGAAGGTATCGATACGTTTCGCTAGACGTTGGACGTTGGACATTCTCGTCACAATGGCCCAGGGCACGCTGTAAGGACTCCGCTGTAAAAGAACGAGGTTCGTAAAGCAAGATGGATCGGATTAAAGAACTTGCATGTGGAACGTCCGTGAAGAACTGCGTCAAAGAGACCGACAGAGGGCAAGATCAGTGTTGGTTGCTACAATGGTTTTACGTGCGACTATGAGACGATCGTCTTCATCTTGAATAGGAAGACGGTCGTGTGCTCGAGACGTCGTGTGACTTTGAAGATCCTTCGCAAAGAATTCGTGAAAATGGAACGAGAAGAGAAGTGGTTAAAAAAAAGAAAAGAGAGAGAGAGAAGATAAAAATTCCAGTTGAGAACAACGTTCAACAAATGTTCCAACAAATGCTCTCTCATGACACATCGTTTGTAAACATCACTTTGAAAAGTTCGTACGGTGAAACAGCCGTATCGAAATCTGTAGAAGCGAGATCGTCGGTTGCTCACAAATGTTTTCGATGGACGTTGTATGGAAATCGCACATGGCGAGATCATGGTGAAAATCGTTGTGAATTTTCAAGCGCCTTAGAAAGCGAATAACTTGAGAACAAAGGCGTGAAATCGTATTCAGAATACTCTAGTAAGGATTTCGATCATTCGTTTTATCGCGTATTCCCAGCGTTTATTACGTCTATGTATATTTCGTATTTATTAGATAACTTTATACTTGTATTAATCTTTATATCTATTGTTTTATTTGTAAGGATTTAAGAAGGGTCGCTTTATTTACGTCGAAGACCGAATGCTTTTTTACATTTGCTTGAAGTATGTAAATTTTTTATTCGCAAAGAGTGAATCGATCAGTCTTGTTTGTAAATTATTGTAAAATTATTTTCTAAATTTAATCGTATACAAAACAAACGAACGAAAAATGTACGAATTTGTAATAGAACATGTATCTTCTGAATACGATTCCTAATAAATGAATGCTGGCACGAAGCTGCGCGACATATATTCGTGTACTTTGAAACATTATACAAAGTCGACCACTTAATTATACCTAAACAGTCACGTGTTACAACAAAAGGCGATCTCAAGTTCGATAGCGTGTCATTGCACAACCTAATCGAAGGAAGGAAGGTGGTAAAATCGAAGGAATTTGCAAGTTCGAAAGTAACCTCGACTGCCAAGAATAATCGCTCAACTGAATATTCTCTTGTCCTTCACGAATCTGAAACGTAAATCTCTAACGAACTTTCCTGGACCGGAAGGAACTTTCGTGAAACTAGAACTCGATCGTGAACTTAGGCTTCAACTATTCAGGGTGACAATACACTGTCTCGTGCTCTTTCAAATCACCATTCAACTGTACTTAAAACACTCATTTAAAATTACCTTCTCTTATTCTTTAAATTCATATTACTGTTATTTTTCTATTCTTTTGCTTTATAATTATAGTACGTTATTTAAAAAAAGAAAATGGTGAAACAATAAATCTTCTTTCCCCGATACTGATGAATAATAAATTCAAATCTTTATGCATTAAGTTTCATGTGTTTAATTCGATAGAACGTGCTGTTGTGCTTAACCTCACCCCAATTAAATAGCGAGTCAAGAGCTAGTTATGCCAACTGAACCTTCGAGATTTTCTGGAACCAGACGATGGGTGCATCGAGAAATTGAACTATTAGAACTGCTTTCGTTTATGGGAAACGAAACTATAATGTGTACCATAAAGAGATGTATTCTCACTTAACATAGAATTATAACTATATACATAGTATATATATTCTAAACAACTGAAGTTTATTTTGGAAACGAAATACGTAGACATATGACACAGTTCAGTAAATGTGTGCGAGTTCTCGATCATTATAAGGGGATAAATTTCTATGTGTCTCGTCGATGCAGGCATGCGTATGTTTGCCAGCGTCGAGACTCGTGCGGTAAAGATTGTCCTTCGAAGCGCGTGTTTCGTAAATCAAAATGTCTCGATACCCAATAAGCCTCCTATCACGAAATTTCTGATTTTTTTTTTTTTAAACTCGCTACGCTATTTTACTAGAATGAAAATAAAAAGAGAGAGAGAGAGGAAATGCCTTAGAATTTGTCCAGCGGTTTACCCAATTCAACAGTTGTCGTGAAAATCGATTGGCAAGATACGATACTTACATAACGATTCTGGTCAGCCCGTGCAGCTGTTAACCGACTAGAAGGAAAAACTTATCAGCGCATTGAGATGTATTTTACGATTTACCGCAAACCCGACAGCGATCGAAGCTCGAGCAGATTTCCGTTATTGTTCACATTTCGGAACAGCCGCCAGTCGTTTTTATCCCACTTCAGCAGAAGTTTTTAGGGATGTTGAGTGTCCCGTAGCTCGATACAAAATTATTGGCTCTGTGTAAATATTATACAATGACGGACCACGGTGAGGCACAACCCATTGACAAAACGATTACGTAAGATAACGATATTCGACCTAAATAGGTTCTCGATTGGATAGTCTTGGATATTCATTTTTTCCGCTGTTTCCGAATCAAAGTCACGACGTTGTATCGTCGTCATATTGGACGAGATGGTTCACGTGCGAGATTGTAAATAACATTATCTATATTACTTACGAATCGTAAAAGTTTACTTTGCTTGTAACACGTGTGTGTGTGTGTGTGTGTATATATATATTTTTTTTTACACGATCAGCAAAGTACAGAAAATTATTTTACTCTCGATTTACGGGTATTGCCTGGTCTCGAGCTCGTCGTTACCTCGTTAATTACGCGACTACTATTACGTGACTGCAACGGTAAAAAGAGTTTGTCCATCGGTATTCGATCGAACATCGTCAGAAACGTCGTTCTAATTTCGAACTTTCGAGAAGAGAAACCACGACCCATAGTTCGGCTCGTTATCAACAGTATATACCGACGTTCCGTGACCGAGAGACGCCTTAAATTCGTTTCTAGTATCGAAATCCTGTTTCATCACGAACAATATCTTCCTCTTGATCGAGTAACCAGCAATATAAGTATTCTCTTCACTGACACGATATTCGACATTCTTTATCCAGCTCGAGTGGCAAGAATTTGTTGTTTGTTCCGTTGTTATACAGGATATAAGAAAAAGATTACAAATTTTGGGGTAATAGTTGATAATTGAACTGTGAATAATTGTAGAATTTAATTACAAAAGTAAAATCACGATAATAAAAATTATTTTACATAGCAAATATTGTGGAAAATGCTATAATTTAGATATTTTATGTATTTTTCTATGTTTTATATATTCTGTGCAATTTGACATTTTAAAATTCGTTATAAATACATAAAACTCCACAGTCTATTGGCAACTGTATATTATGCTCACTAAAAACAAATTTTTAATTATCACACTAAAATTAATAATTTCAAGTTTTATATTTTTGTACGTAACGCCTGATGGAATATAATTGGCGTAATATAATACTTATGTTACCATGAATAGGACAGAATAAAATTTAACATCTGATAGCTGTTTCATGAAAAACCGCAATGTTCTTTGCTTGACAAATTGAAAGATAATAATTAAATTTTTGTGAACCATTTCCATGAATTTCTAAAAATGAAGGAAAAAAATTCATGCATATTCTAGATCAGATCTGGCTAACTAGCGGCCCGTGAGCCCTTGCCCCTACTTTCCTGATCGCTAGCACTACTCCCTCCACTTGGTAGAAAAATCAACAGACTGAGAGAGTGTGACTCATGTACGGCGAGGAAATTTCAATGTAGTGGAGAGATCGATGTAGTGAAGAAATCGATGCAGTGGAGGGGGTAGCGCTAGCGATCAGGAAAGTAGGGGCAAAGGCTCGCTGGCCGCTAGTTAGCCAGCTCTGTTTCAGATCGTTAAACATAAAGAATTTTTTTAACTACACTAACGGAACAAATTATATATTATTTTAATGAAATAAGAAAATTGAGCATCCATGACACTGAAAAAATTAATTTTAATACAGAAACTAAAGAAAGTTAAAAAAATATTGGAATTATATTGTTCTTAATCCTAATTTTCTACTTTTAAATAATGCTTAAAATTTGGACAAGATGCAGTGACACTTTCATTTTATTTATTTATGAATTTCAGTGATAGATATAAAATAGCACAAGTAGCGCTGTCCTTTAAGAAATTTTTAGTTTTAAATGTCTGTTCTAATGAGGGAAGATGGCGTGAATTCAATAGGTAAAGTTATTTTTTCAACGTGTCTAAAATGCTTCTAAAATTGTAATAATTATAAATTTTGAAACTTATTACAAAGTAATTTTCCTCTAATTCAATTTTAAAAATGAAAATTACATTTAATTCTTCAGATAGACTCAAACAAATATCACTTTTTATTCTGTCTTGTGCATTATATGATACCAACGCATTTCTCAATCAGATATAGTAAGACATTTCAATAAAGCAGAATAAATTCAATTACATCTTTCGAAAATATCAATATGCTTACTACAAACTTATTTGCAAACTTCGTTGCGTAAATATTCTGATATTTTTGTTCGATATCCAACAAAGATCTTCACAGAACAATTAATAATTACAGTATTGTATAAACGAAGGTCTAGTATTTGTCTACCTCTTATATTAGCCGTACAGAAGTTTCATTCACGTGCAGAAGGTCAATATTTGCTCCTTTGAAAGTTTTACTCTTATATTTTAAAAAGCGTTCGTTTTATCGTAGTTTTCATTATTTGTTCTTCTATACCCATCGTCATGAATTTTACGTCATGGGACGAGCAAACATTGCATTGACATTTATAACAAATTAAAACTAGTGCTTTCTTAATAATGGTAGTTACAGAAAAGCATGGAAATTGTACAAGAGATATATTTAAAACGTGGCATGCAGGATGTTTCATTTTTATTTTGCCAAACGATGTCAGCATGATTAAGAATAAAAAAATAATATTATACAAACATGTGATCGTAATTATTTGTATTATTACAAAGTTATAACACAAAGTTAAAACCACCCAAAATTATAAATGATTCAATTCTGCATAGAAGTATTGGCAATATTTAATTCTGTTAAAGAGATTTTGTTTATTGTTAATAAATTACAATAACTACGCATTGTACGTTATAATACGACGTGTATTATTAGAGTGCAAATTTTTATGCAAATTCATATTTTTAAGAATATGATTAAAGAAATCAAATCTGAAATTATAATAAAAATTATAATAACACATGAGAAATCGGAAATTATTTTACTAAATATTATAGAAAGTGCCATGCTTTAGATATTTTACATATTTTTCCACAGTATGTGCATCTTATGCAATTTTGCACTTTTAAGTTTTCTGTAAATACATAAAAATCCGTAGCCTAGTAATTAATATTAATACTCATAAATATCAGTTAATTGAATAAATTTGTACTTAAATTGGTACTTTTCAATGAACATTTACAATTCTATGTTTATATAATATTTCTTTCTTAGTTTTAATTGTAGAACATTCTGATACCGCAAGATAAAAATAAAACACATTGTGTTATGCTGCAATAAGCAGAGTTGGAAAAGATGGGAAGCTCGCGCGACAAGATTATTTTTCCAGCCGAGTGTACTCTGTGGAATTCCACGGTCACCCCGGTCGAGAAAGGTGACTGCACCTTGAATCAACTCTTGCACGCGGATCCCGACCGCGAAGAAGCTAAATTCCAGTTCAGGCCTGTGGACGAGCTTCGATTCCGGAATAGGTTTCGAGCAGCCATTCGCGAACTATTGTTTAAAAGAGAAACGAGAAAATCCTGCGCGCGAACGATTCCTGCGTTTTCCTACACGAGGTCGAAAGATCTCGTCGGACTTGTAGTTGTTCAAATTCTGAATTGGTAATGTCTTGCACTGATAAACTCGAACATTTTTATTTTCTTTGATATTTGTTGTAATAGCTTTACATATCCTGTATTGATAGAAAAGACAGTGTAATTTTAGACAGTGTAACAGCTACATAAAAGAATCTGTTACTCGTTAAAAGTAGAATAGTATCGAGCCTCGATCAATTATAATTTTTAATTGTAATTTATTTAACCGATTAATGAAATATGATAATTATAATTCATTGATTAAAAATGTTAATCCTCAGCCATCAGTTGCTGATCAAAATTTTTTTTTAATGTATAAGAAAGCATATATTAAGTACTATTAATTAATTAATTAATTAATAATAGGTTCAGATATTAATATCACGATGATAAGAATTTAATTATTATTTATAATTGGTAATCAAATTTTTCAATTATTAATTATTAGTTACATTAAATATTAGCTGCAAATAGATCAATTTTAATGTGGTTTACAAAGTTGTAAATAATATATAACATAATGATTTTATGAAATAATATGTGACGAAATTTAAAATTTATTAAAAATTTTTTTATAAATCTTCATATGTAGTAATCGATATAACTTTTCAAAACAAACTAAGTAAAATTTTTTTTCACAATGGAAAAACTTGTTTAAATTTATTTAGTGCACGTTTTTGTAATGAACAATCAACAAACAAAAG